TGCACTTATGGAGCAGGATACGTCGGCCGAACAACGAGGCACCATGAAAAGAGGGTAGGTGAGCACACACCAGCCTGTTTAGTTAAAGCTGAAGCTAGATCGATCTCGAGTTTTATTTTCGCACACTTTGTTGACAGGTATCATCGAGTCAATACAAACGAGGTCTTTCAAGTCGTATACCGGACAGCAGCTAACTTATCCAAGGGCCTACAGCGACGGGTGCTTGCAACAGCCAAAGTCGTGGCTATACAGCTAGCGAATCCAGTGATGTGTTGTCAAAAATTGTTCAGACACGCATTTTACTTTCTTTGCCGACTCCGATGCCAAATAGCGATCGAACATGGCCCCCACCCACTAGTTACAGTCGTTCGCTCCTTGCAAATGGCAGTAATTATCACTCAATGTACCTGACCCCTGACCAATCCCCAAAAACTAACCCAATTTCCTCACCTCTCCCTGTTCCCGCACAACGACCTCTACACATCCATCTCTTCATGCGGGTGGAGTAAAACGATGATGCCAATACAAGCGAACACGCGACTCCCTGGAAGTAATTGAAAAGAAGACGACTCGACCGCTGGGCAATACTTTTATTCGCCCGACGTTTCGATATCCATCGCTGATTCGTCATCAGAAACATAATCAGAGGGCAATAGCAGACCCTATCTGTCATTGCTTTCCAACTTAGTCTCTGATGACGAATCTGCGACGGATCTCGAAACTTCAGGCGAATAAAAGTACCGTCCCAGCTATCGAGTCGTCTTCTTCTGAAAGCGATGAGTTGTAATCAAAGTACACTTATTAAACCTGTCCAAATTTACAATTTTCGTTATCCCTGCAAATGTAGTGGTCTGATGAAGAGTTGCTGAAAACATATGTTTGCCAAATAAACTTTTCAAGTCTACTCTTTATTGCGATCCCTTTTTCACGGTGAAGTGCGAGGTGCAGGTTAATTATTTCATTTTATATCTTAAACATCTAGTCTCAACTTTAAAAACAACTGCTGGTCAGATATTTTTTAGTCCAGTTTTATAAATAGAATTGTCAAGATTAATACTGAGGGTCATTTTGCAACGCATTTTTAAGTTTGACAATGTAAAATAGTATTTAAAAAACAACCACTGCAATCGTCAATTTCATTTTTGGCATATTTTATCTATGTTTGGATTTGTTTTCAAGTGCAGGAACCTGAAATATTCTGGTCATTTTTCAAGACACTTATCTTGCCTTACTTTGACCATATTTGTGAAAAATAACAGCCATTTCTAACCAAATGTATTTCATGTGATCGTTTTTTTTATTTCCTAAAAAAACAGGATGTCATATTTATAGACTATCAGCTGAATCTCCTGGGAGGCCAAGCCAAAACTCCAATACACGCAGGCCAGCCTCTCATAGTTGCTGTTAGAGCCATCCTGCCCGGAAAGAGTGCCACGTTTCTCAATCTATCCATCAGCGTGTGGCCGGCTTCTGGGATGACCCTTTCCATGCCCTTCAGTGATGTGTCATCAGAAGCGCTGATAAGCCACCACGCAAATATGCAATGCAGTCGAATTATAAATACGTAAGAAATGTTTAGCGTTGCTTCTTGTTTTCTAGATGCATTTCAAATTTGCTTCCGATGGAACGGAACAATGTTTTCTGTTCTGCTATTGGACTGGTTTTACGGGTGCGAAAGTACCTGAGTGTCCTGTTGCTACGCGTTTTCTTCAGCCATAGTTAGGCTATGTTTAGAACTCCTGGGCTACTGCCACACATGAAGTTTTGGACTATTTCATTGTGCCAAAACGTGCTCTAACGCAAGCAAGCACTTTAAAGAGAAGAGGAGAATTGACAACGATGGTTAGTTTCGTGCCGCATATGAATCCATCTTTTAAGCCATGTGATGTGAAATCACTACAAGTTAATCCGTCAAATGGTCGAGGCTAGGAGTATTGGTCAAAACAATTCCCGTTAATATTATTGGAAAAGCTTGAAGGTTAAACAGTTTCGTTTTCTGATTGCCTCCACGCAGAAGCGTTCAATAATTAGTGAATTTTTCAGCATGAATTGACGAAAACCGGCTCGACCAAAGTACGTTTCCCATTTAGAGGTGCTGTGATGTGCATGAAATTTGTGGCAGGCGACCAACATATGTTGTCCCCTTCCTCGTGCAATGTCTGTTCCCCGAGGCTTGACTTCGCAATTGCTCCTGGCTAACCGATAACAGCTGTACCAATGTCCCCTGTCCTTCGGCAGCCTGACGGCCAGGATAATCACACTGACTATCAGGTGTTTCGCCAAGGGTGGTCCCCCCACATTTGACCTCAGCTTAATCACACACCCGAGCGCACACACGCACGCGCACGCGTCCCTAACTAATTGCAGATTCTCAAGGGCTACTTCAGTAAGCCACCCCGTAACCAGGCAGCAGAGGCCTGTGCAGTCCACACCCCCTTCGGGCAATTGCAATACACCAATAGCAGACCACTTGAACTCGCT